GTTAAAATTTCCTTAGTGTCGAGGCAGCAGGAGGGAGAAAGGCATCTCATTGCAATCTGATTTCTTCACCCTAATATAACGCTAGTCAATGCGTTGCCCAGCTTCTCTCTATAAATACAAACAGCTTCAGGGACACTCCAACACGTGTTTTGCTGCCCACAATTTATTAGCCAAGAATAGCTACGTTGAAATAGAGTTGTGGTCATGCCCTCTCCTTTGGCAAATCCTCTTCATCAGGGGCTCTGGGACTGTTATGTAGCCCCTGCTGGGTATTAGGCCACACACTGGAAAACCGCCCAGGAAATAGATACACAGGCTTCACGGCCCGTTTTGTAGCGTACTGAAGAACAACAGAAACAAGTCATCAATCACTCCTTCTACAAGCATGAACAAGCGTCCATGGGTGAAAAACTCTTAAGTGCAATCAGTTGTCTTCAATGGCAACATTTTAAGCAGGGAAAATACATTACACCAGAAAGCCACATAGCCCTCTTATTTACTGTGCCCTATTTCCACTTTAGTTGAGTGTTCTGGTCTTGGAGCTTTCTAAAAGGTTAATTTTCCTTTATTCCTTTTTTTTTTCTTTTTTAAGGGAAGAAAGAAGATTATGAAATGTATTGATATAATCTGAACATAGAATAAAAGACAGAATCCTGCTGTGCTAAGAAGTAGTATTGTATATTGCTGTGAACCGTTGCAACCCAGATATACTGCCAGCAACATTTTTTGTAACAGATAACTTTTTCTTCCATTTCTCCAACTCGTTTGTTACAAGATAAAGAGGAAAGAAAAATCTGTGGAAAGCTTGCTGTTGCCTAGTTTCCTTTTGGGAAATGAAGTTCCTGAAAAGAAATAGAGTTCTTAAAAAGCCTCCACACCCCCAAAGGTGTCTTCTAGAGAGTGTTTTAAAGGACAAGTAATGAGAACTGGATACTATCTGTTTATTCCTACATATCTGGGAAGGAAACTTTGTCATATAGTAGACAAATATTTAAATATTTGTCAAATATAACCTATTCTCCTAAATGGCATGGAAATCTGTCACAAGGTTTTGGCATAACTCAGTTGGCAGCAACTGCTGTTCTTCCTAAGCAGAAGCACTGGCACGTAAGGGAGTGACAGAGGCATACTCTAAGTATGGAAAGCTGTCTTCTGAGTAGCAACCAGAGACCATTTTCAGATCTGAAACTTTATATTCTGTAGCAGACAAATAAAAATATGCAGAAGGATTCTGATTCTTGGAATATGCATTTTCCCACCAAGCCTATTTATAAAACTGCCTGATAAAAAAGCATATAGAAAAAAATGATTGCGACTCAGAATATCTGGGTTGTATTCCCAGCTCTGTTTGCTCTTGAGTGAGCTACATTAAAAAACAAAAAATCCTCTGGAAAAGCCTTTATACCTCAGTTTCCCTAAAATAATAAATAATAGGAGTGATCTCACTTGTGCCTGGAAAGCACATTGAGCTGATTTAGTAGAAGGCACTAACGAAGTGTCATGCATTATTATTGCATTAGGCTGCCTGTACTTCTGAAACCCATCTGACATTTCCCACTTGGCATTGATTGTGGGTGATAGCATTTCTGTATTAATTTTAAGGAGGATGCATTATAGCACTGCCTGATGTATAATTACACGGTTTGTGATGAATGCATTTTCTAAGAAAAGCAGTAACCTGTGAGATCCTCTCTCTTTTTCACTTCATTAAACTGCCGCATTGCAAAGCGCGTTGTTTCATTACGGGTCCTGCCAAGCAGCTCTGCTGTGCTCCTCATAGCTACGTGTGAAGTATCGAGGTGAAGCTCATAACTATATTTGGGTATCCGAGTTTATTTCCTCTACTCTCTCCAAGGTTAGCATGACGAGTGAATGAGGAATGCTGGGGGAAACCATCCTTAACATGAGCAGGCTGTGCCAGAGCTCGGATCACGCCGCTGAATCCCCTTCTGTGCCGCAAAGCAGTTAAATCACCAGGGGCCAGGACAGGGCTTGGACCACACAAACACAGGATCGGGTCTCTTCCCTTATTGTGTAGCCGAGGCTGGTCCTTTTCCTCGCAGATAGCGGCGGTTTTCCCGTACGTTATCAGCACTTGGAACCTCAAAGTCGAATAGTGCCCGGTCAGACGTGCCTGTAAAGCAGGGTGGTAGGAGAGGAAGCTTGGAGGGGAAATGAGTAAGTGAGCAGCCCAGCCCAGCGTGTAGCTGTAAGACAGGGTTACTGGAGCAAGCTGTGTAGCGGGGAGGAAGTGTTGCAATGACTAACCCTTGTGTCTGTGTGTGTGTGTGTTCTTCTCTGAAACAGCCTCATCACAGAAAAATCTAAGAGAAGAGGATTTTTGGGAAACGTTACTGGGCAATTAGTGCGAGGAGGAATGATCTCTTGCTAGTTCTGAAAAGAGGGGGAGCATGCACAGCTCCTCGTTAGAGATGCTCAGCACCCATCGAAAGGGGAGCACCCATAAATAGCAAACTGTTGCATGAAGTTACTGACTTTTTACTGACTTTTCGCTGACTTTTCTGTCCTTTGCAAACTGAGTACTGTCAATGATAATGCACACTGGAGCTTTATGTTATCTCAAGATAAAATTTCTAAGAGGTGCATAGTTTATATTGATTCTTAAAAACTGTGCAGGGGGAATTCTCTGTTTCTCATGATATTGGCATAAGAGAATTTAATATAAAAAGAATATAGTGGCATGTGTACATTCTTACAATTTCATTTGTCTATTTACATGCTTTTCATTTTTTTACAACTGACTCCTATGCAATTTGTTCCCCAGAAGAATGAGATGAATGAGAAGGGCATCCTATGGGGAAGGGGGGAAACAGAAGCGAGTGGTGATTCCTACAGAAAGAGAGGAAATCAAACGTGACATTCCACTGCCAACTGGGTGTTGGTTTGCTATATTGTCTCTGTCAACAACTCTTCACCTTTTTGATTTTTTCAGAATACTTCTAAAGTAAAAAACCTTTTACCACAGCCTCCTCCCAATATCTTTTTTTTGTTTTGCCATTGCATGACTATCAAAATATTGACTATCAGTTTTGGTGTGATGTGGATTATCAACCTTTGTTTACAAAACAATGTTTATATTCTTTATGCTTGTCACTTTAAAATTAATGAGAAAATAAAATTATGAAGGGAGTAGATGGGTGGATGAAGTCCATTCTTTGAATACTAGATACTTGCAAAGCAGCTGCCAGAATGAACTTTCCCTAGATGCTTAGTGAGAGGATAGATCAAACTGTAGTCAAAATTAGGATTGGTGTAGCAAATTATGTGTGGGTGTAACAAATGAAGAAGGAAATGCTTCGTGAAGTATTTTTATTTGTAATGTGAAACTAACCTAAAGTAATATTAGTGGGTATTAAATTCTGTATATTCCAGTGGATCAGTTTCATTGGAATACAGAAAATAGTTCTGCTTACAGTAATAGCTCAGAGAATATTTCTGAGACATTACTATAGAAGAAAGACTGAAGTTGAAATACTAATAGTAGGGAATATATGATGCTATGGGTGTGGTATGTGTCTTTTATCATCATGAGTTCATGTTGTTTTAAATACATGTTCTTACAATCTTTAGAGACTTTGCATTAGCGTTTATTATATATGGTTATGCAGTTGAAGGAACACTTTCCTAGCTGTAGTTGGCTTTTAAAAACATTTTAATAGAGCTTTTCATGTTACTCACTTGTAACAGCGAAGAAGGAATAGCAGTCAGTGAAAACACAAGTGACTGAAGCAGAATTCTGGGTGCAGGAGGGAAATTTAGGGCCCCATCTAACATCCTTTGGCTGTGGGAGAGTTGAATCTGTTCCCACAGTTTTATTTCTGTGGAGTTATCTAAAGTTCTAAAGCTGTCAAGAAAACTATGGTGAAACAGCTGGTGACCCACCTGCAGGAATATGGGAAGAAATAAGGTAGATCAAAGAAGTTACAATTCTCTGTCTCTTTTAATGAAGAGGGAGAAAATCTGTGGCAAAGGTACTTAGATAGTAAAGGAGTCCTTAGCATGAGAAGAAATACTTTTGCTGTGTGAAAAGTGGATGTTGATTCTCTTTGTAAGGCTCTGGACTGGTAATTGCATCCATTTTCCTGCCCTGGTTTAGCCACAGATTTCCTTGGTGAACTGAGCAAGTAGTTAATGGCTTTGGCCTCTGCTTTTTTTTGTTCACAAAATGGGATTCTGACCCCTTCCTCTCAAGGGTCTGTGAGGTTAAATAAAAGGATGTTTATAAAGTGAGCTCATATTGTTTTTATGAAAGAGGTGCAGTTTCAGCATTTTCAAACAATATTCTCAACAGAGAAAAAAAAACTTAGGTATTGTATTTACTTATACAGTGATACTGTTATACATATATGCTTTCACTCAGTGGTAACATCCCATGGTAGCGGGAGGTTCTGTACAAGTCCTTCTTTTCTGGGGTGGGGAGAGAGGCCCCAGATACCCCACAAAACTGCCTGCCACAGGCCACTGATACACTGCAGCTGTGTGACACCTCTGTGCCATGCTCTGCTAACCTGAGCTGCCCCTTGGTGGTGGGACACTCCAGGACGGTGTGAGCTCCTCTTGGGGGGCATTCTTCCTTCAGTACCCAGTGAAGGTGTCTGTTCCTCTTATCTCACTGTAAGCAAACCTAGTTCCCCTTATGTGGTTCCCCATACAGTCCCTCTGCACTGTGGGTGTTACCAAATGCGCTCTCTATGCACACATACACCTTAAGAAACACCTTCAACCTCTCTCTCTGCCCTCCCCCCTTTTATTTTGAAGCATGTAGTTCAGCTGGTCCTCCTCAACTTTTTTGTTGAGAAGTGCCATTTTTGTGCTGCCTGTTCCAAAGTATTTGGTGCTCCTCAGTCTCACCCTTCCCCCCCCTCCTCGTCTTTTGGCGGAGAAAGGACGCAGCATATTTCCAGAACATATATACTCTAATTCCAGCGCTGAGGCTGCCGTACATCTGGTGCTCTCAGTCTCCTCCGTGTGCATTACAGCACGCCGAACCGCAGGCGAGGGGACAACCGACCTGTCCCTGCGCAGTGGGACACGGCGATTACTGGAAGAAAGTGTCACAGAGGCATCGCCAGCGAGAATGTGATAAACCCTTACCAAAACACAGGCGCACATTTCTGCTCTCACTTTCTCTTAGGCAGCCCCAGAGCGTGGAAGTCGGTGGTGGGATGTGCATAGGGGTAGAAACACGGTGGGAGGTGGAATTGTGGTAGATGTGACTGATTTACGACAGGAGTTTCCTTTACAGTCATAAGGGGAATTTTGCTTGGTCACAGCGAGTTTGAACCCTCATGAAACAGCCTGAATCATTTGAAGTTAAAATAAAACAGAGAATGGGGGAGAGACATGGCCATTAAAAAAAAAAAAGGGCAAAAAACAACGTTAAAATTGTTTCCTTTGGTGCTGACTTCTTAAATGGGAATGTGATTCAGAATAGTTCTAGTGTGCAAGCCAACATTTGTTTTAAAAATTTTTATTGTCTTCTTTTCCCTCTGCCCTCTCTCCCCCTTGCCCTCCCTCTCCGCTCTGCAGATTTACACTGACTGGGCTAACCACTACCTAGCGAAATCTGGCCACAAGCGGTTGATCAAGGATTTGCAACAGGACATTGCAGATGGAGTTCTGCTAGCAGAGATCATCCAGATCATCGGTAAGACCAGGGCTGAGAGAAGCACTGAGAGCTGACTCCTTGCATGGGGGAATATATAATTCAAGTTGAATGTATTTAACAATAAGATGAACCCTAAATAATACAATTTGACTGGGTCCATATGTCTCTAATATTTGTGTGGTTCGTCCTTGTCTTAATTAAAAAATATGTTTATGTGAGCATGTTTGGAAGTGGCTGTTTAACCATACTTTAAATGGCCAGAACTGTATCTTACACACTTTGAATTGTCAGAAATGAATGCTCCATTAAACCATATGTCTCCCATGTGTGCATTTTGTTAGTTGGAGTGGCTCATACTCTCTGGGATGCCTTGAAACTCTATCCTGACCCTGCAAAGACAATTGTGGAAGATTTCATGTCAGCAGTTATTTTGCAGGGGCTGAAGAATTAGCAGCGACCTCCTTCGCACTTCCCCCTTTGCATGATTTGGCATGTGGAAGCAACTGCTGCTAACAAGAGTGTTGTTACTGTACGGCTGAGCTTTACTTAGAGAGGAGCTCTGTGTCAACAAAACCCTGTGCACTTTATTGCTGTCTTTTCTGCTCTTCTGGTTCGTTTTTTTCTTTTTTTTTTGTTTGGCTTGTTAGGTCCTTTTTTTTTTTCTTTTTTTTCTTTTTTTTTTTTTTTCCCTGACCAACAAAAGTTTTATCTCATTGTTTACTTCTACTTTTGTCCTCACTGTTTTTGTTTAGCAAATGAGAAGGTTGAAGATATCAATGGCTGTCCCCGGAGCCAGTCTCAAATGGTAAGAATAAAATGCATTTTTAGCCTCTGTTGGCACTTCTGCTCTTTCCTAAAATGCTTTTTAATACTGATTTATTTAAACTGTGAATATTCTGTCCCCTGTTTACCATAAAGTCCTAATTCTCATATAGCATTCCTGGTACTTTTTCCACATGTGCTTAGTGTGACTTCATTTCTGTGTTCACTAGCCTTGAGTCTCGAGGTAACCCAGAAGCAAGTCTTCATCACTTCTAATTAATCCAGAACTGCCTTAGCAGACCTATTCTTTTGAAGATCCAGATAATTTCATTTAACTTCATTTTTAAGGGCAGTAAATCCAAGAACAAATTTTTAAGTGGAGTCTTTGTGTCTGGAAAACTTGTTTGATGAACAGGATTTGCCAACTTATTTTTGAATATAAATAGCTTTTTGGATTGTCCACTGTAAAGTCCAGTTAGATGCACTGACTCCAAGACTTTCAGAAATAGCACTTTAGTCATATTGCTCTCTGAGTTATAGCTGGCAGCTGCTTAAAGACATTTTAATACTCTCAGGCAAGAAGCATTTTGTGACTGGGATTCATGCAGAGTCTTACTAATCTTTTACTGTGTTTATGGCTAGTCAACTACATTTAATAATATAAAACCTCCTTAGAAGGCTGTGGAACTGACAGGTACAAAATCTGAGCCTCTGTAACATCATCATGCATTTACTGAATGATCTGCAGTTCCAGTCATGCTCCCTCTTGCTGAAGACTTTGCCTTTCTGTTCGTAACCAGACAGTACGTGAATAAGGTGCACGACTGTGTAGCTGGCAAGAATTTTGAAATGTAATGATTTGGATGAGCTTGCATAACAGCAAGCTGCTGAAGCTTGGCTTAAGAATGGAAATGGAGCAGAAAAAAAAATTAATTTGTTCAGTGCATTTTTTAAAGAGAGAAGGTATTTGCAGCTTCTTTTTTTTTTTTTTTCCTGCAAAGCTACAAAAGTAAAAGGAAAAGATTTTGGGTACCAGTAAAGTGAATAACTAGGTCTTTCAGTTCTTTTCAAAAAATGTGCAGGTTTAGAACAAGTTTTTTCTCTGGCTTTCTGGCTTTTTGAAACAGTCCATAGTAAGAATATATGCAATTTCCTTAATAATAGTTATTATTTTAATTACTCATATTACAACAGCACCTAGTGGCCCCAGCTGAGAACATGGGGAACTCCAGTGTGGAACTCTAATATTACACACACAGATCAAGAGATAATCACTCCCTACTTTAATCACATTAAAACCTGCCATTCCAGACAGACAAGGCAAACAAGAAGAGACAAAAGCACAGAAAAGTGATATGATATGCTGAGGTTATTTAAGTGGTTAGTGACCATCTAGGATTGCTTGGGGACCCACCGCTCTGATTTCTATTGAGCTTCATTTCGATGAGAGAAAGCCAAGTTGCAAGAAGAACTATGCACTCTAACAGCGTTTTCATCTCCAAAAGGACAACATTTGTGTATGTTCCCTGTTGATATGTAAATCTTTATGTGACATAGAGAGTCTGGATTTCATCTCTGGCTCTGCTGCAGTTGTGGACCAAGCATGGTTGATGCACATCCGTGCCACAGCAGTACCTGTAGGAGTCTCTTTATGTCCCTCTTCCTCCTCCCATAAGCCCATCTCTCAGCTCAGACAGGCCAAAGAATAGGTCAAAGGTGTTCTGGTCTCAAACCAGCTGCTTCAGAAATTCCTATATGTAGTCATATGTCAGTGTTTGCATGGTGCTAAGGCATCACATTTAACTGCTTTAACTTGGTAGGAGTATATTTATTTATCCTTCTTTGATTCAGTCTCTTTACTGCATTGTTTTTATCTCTGCAGTCTGATCAGATTATTTGTCTGACTTTTCACATACCAATTTTATACTGCTGATCTCTTCAACTGAGCTAGGAAGTTTAAAACGTACTGAAGTTCAAGTAGTTCAAACCTGTTGGCTTTCTTCTCAGAGCATATCAGAGGCCCCAGGTTTTGAGTCTGCTCTCCATTTGTTTCCTTTGGGCTGTGCACCGATCTAGCCTAGCTGAAGGCACCATCCTACCATGTTTTCAGGTAATTTGCCTTGATGCTGCTCAATTCTGTTAGCCAGCTCAGTAAATGACAGGCCGATTCTCCTCTTTTTGTAGCAGTGGGTTAGTAATGTGCAGAAAAAAATACAACGTAGCACCGGTTGAAGCTACTTTACTTTGACATATTGCAGTATGGAGCAGTGTGTCCTGTTAGGATTCGTCAGAACATCAGCCATCAAACCAGCAATAGTCATGATATTCCTGTAGCGTATTTGTTAGCCATTCATTGATTGCTTTTGTTTTAACCTTTTTCTTTAATAAACCTCAAGAATCCTACCACCTTTTTCTTTCACTTATGTTGTCATGATCCTTGCTCTCATAACTTGCGGTTAAAGAGAATGTTTTCTCTCTTCATCTGCCATTTGTCACCCTTTCCAGGAGGTGATGTCTAAGGCATATTATTAGTTTAAAAGAAGCTAGAGAACACTAACATGGATTGTCTGCTGCTGGAAACACTTGGTTATCCCCTATAGATGACATTTATATAAACTCAGAATTAATGACTACCAATATTTCCAAATTCTGTTCCACTAACAATTTGTTTTTTTGTCTTGCCAATAGCTTCATCTTTCAAGAGATTCAGATGTTACCTTAATCTGAAACATCTTTTAATATTTATTTTAAATATGTGTGAAATCCTTCTTTTTTAGTTTTCTTCTAGTTAGGTCTGTTGCAATGTCTCACAGTCTATGCTGATCTTGAAAGTGATATATAAAGTACTTGCAGACAGGTTAAACTGGCTCCACAGGTCCAAGTTCACAAAAATTAAAACCTGTGAACCCCAGCAGCATCCAGTTTCTGCATAATTAGCTCTACCAGGGTCCTCATGGCTGTCATTCTGCACACACATTTGATGTCATACACACATTTGAGAACCTGAGATTTGCTGGGGAATAAATTATTTCATATTCAAATCTCCAAAACTTTAAACAAATGAAATTTGCAAGAGAATTTGCAAAATCTACTTGCTTGTTAGGTAAATCTACTGTAGTTAGATGGTTTTGGTATTTCTTATGAGTGGTTTTTTAAAGATAATAAGGATTTAAAGCTCTGTGTGTTATATATTGTTGGTCTACAGTGTCATATAGAGTCTCCTGCTTGTCTTGCCTATTTTTTTCTTTCCTGCTGTGCATACAAGGAGGAATATGGCACTTCAGGGGTTTTTTTCACCATCTCTTTCAATTCCTGCAATGTGAAATAATACCACATTCATTTCTATATTTTCATTGCATGAATTATTCTGTAAGTCTACCAATTAAGGAAACCTCAAATCATCTTTGTTTAGAAGATAATGATCTTTCAAGGGTTTACTTTTTGATACAACCAAAAGCTGATTCCTTTCTGCTTCTTCATAAGCCATTTATTTCTTTGATTTCTGTTGTAAGTTACCCCGTCATTAGAAAAAGTTAGAAAATATGTTATAAAGCTTTACTCTAATGATCAAAAGAGAAAGAATTCAGATTTTTTTCTTCCTCAGCGTATCAGAAAAGTACTGGAAGATCTCCACTGTTTCATCTCTAAACAGATCGTATTAAAAATACAGTAAGCATACAGAGTATCAAATTTAATCCATCCTGGGATTGTCATAGAAAATGAAAACGTATCAAAAAGTATTGTATGGAAAATCATTTTATGGTGACATTTGCAGTATTGCCCCTATAGAATTTTACAAAACTAATGTTTTTATTCTTTCCTTGTGTGGTCTATAGTGCTTTCAGATGCATAAATAGTAAAATAAATTCAAAGTTGCTGAAAGATTTTTGTATATTGCTTTTCAAGTTGGTTTTTTCTTCAGAGATTGATGTTGTCTTATTAGCTATTTTTTCTTCCTTAGAATTAGCTCTTACTACTTCCCATGAGAAATGTCTATGCCAGTACACATCTAGGTGCAAAAACATTGTTAATTTTAGTTGGTAGCAGAGTTTTTCTCATAGTTATCAAGGAGCTGGAGAGACTCTTCTTATTAAAAGGCTTCTAATGTAGTTGCATGCATTTAATGAAGACTATCTTTCATTTTGTCAATCTTTGGCATGGTTGTCTACCAGTTTATATAACCAAAGGTGTGCTTCAAAGGTGATTTTTATAGTTTAGGATACAGACATGCTGGAGTCCAACAGCGAGAGTTGAGTTCAATATAAATACAGGTCTTGCTTACCACATCCTGGAAATCAGGAGTTTGAAAAGGTGTTAGAGCTGTAGCGCGTTGCCAAATGGTTATGAACATTTAGCAAAAAGCTGCAGTTAGCAGAGCTGGCATCATCTTTGGGTGAGTAGCAGTGTCTCTGTTAAAAGTGGGAATCAGTCTGACTGTGCAGCAGTAATAAGATAATTTATGCAACACTGTATTTGATTTTATTAATAATAATTTTAAAAGATGTTAATAAATTAAGAATGTTTCAGAAAAGAACCACAAGAATGCTAGAAATTTTTACTTTCTGCTATGAAACAGAAAAATTGTCTATTTTAGCAAAAAGAAGGTAGAGTAAGTAAATGAATCAGTCTTTGCTTAAGAGGGGAAGGTTTTTGTTATAGAGGGAACTTTCTGTGATGTAGCTAAAGAAGTGTCTCAAGCCTCAAGCTGAAATAGGACAAGACGACCATGTCTATACTGGTGGACATTACTTTGTAATGTGTTGGTTAGATGTGCTTCACAGCATTCCTGTACACTCACAAAAGCCCCCCCGTGGCGCCCTTTCTTCTCATGTGCTTCAGTTTTTCTCCAGAGGAAGCCAAGGCTGCAGAAGGATGAGGTGTATGCCAGTCTCTTCTTATCAGGGAGTCAGCCTGTGGATGGGATGAATCAGTGGAAACTGAAACTGCTAAGTGTGCCACAGAGTACACCTGCCCTACAGTATGTGTGCTTCCCTTCAGTACAGACACTTTCAGACTTCCTCTGGCAGGGATATGCTGGCCAGA